TTAATAAAGAGGTCATCAGAAATCTCATACCATACATTTGCCACCATGACCCGAAGCAGCTGCAGTGTTGCTGCAAAGACTGCTTAGGCAACAAGATCCCCTGGAACAGAATCAGCATTATTGCTATGCAAATGTGAACTAAAAATGCAACATGAAATATTAATGATGTGTATCTAACGGTTCATGCATTCCAGTGTTTTCCACATTAAATAGGCTGGAGAAACTTACATGAAAAGCACCAACTGGGAAAGTAGGATTTATAGGAATTTTGTTTCTACATTTTCTCAGGTGAGGACTACAGTCCAGATCCCTATAACTGGGATTTTATTGGGAAGAACCTGTTCTGCATGGGTGTTGAGGGATTTGTCTATTTCATCATTAATATTCTCTTCCAGTATCGCTTCTTCCTGAATAACTGGCAAGTAAATTTACACATGTGATGAAAGTCATTGTCCAGATAACACACCAAATCAAACCATGACTGAGTAGCAATTTTTTTTTCTGCTGGCAGGATACCCGATTACCCAAAGCCTCACATTTTGGATGAAGACATGGATGTTGGAGAGGAAAGACAGCGAATTTATCAGAGTGGAAAATCAAATGACATTTTACGTGTGAGAGACTTGTCCAAGGTCAGTGTTAGTCTTTATTAGGACACACTGTGGACAACAAAAAAAGAAAACAGATTTTGAGCTTTATTTTTGTTCTGATGTTCTCTTACCAGACTTACACAGGAACAATTATCCCTGCAGTAGACCGAATCTGTGTCGGAGTATCACCTGGAGAGGTTTGTAGAGGTTTGGTTAAACTAATATATGGTACGGTATGTTACCTCTAAGGCTGTCTTTTTCTACTTCCAAATATCCACAGTGCTTCGGTCTCCTGGGGGTAAATGGAGCTGGGAAAACCACAACCTTTAAGATGTTGACTGGAGACATTAATGTCACCTCAGGAGAAGCCTCGGTTGCAAGTCACAGGTTTGTACATCGCAGTTGTTCCGTGCTGAATTTGAGCATTGATGTCGAATACATTAAGTTGCTGATAATCGCCGTTGTTTTAAGTTTCTGTGATGCTGGGTGAAAAAGAAGGTTTGATACACTTCACCTATCTGCATAAATCTCTCACAGCATTTTGACCAATATCCTGGATGTCCATCAGAACATGGGTTACTGCCCTCAGTTTGATGCCATAGATGAGCTGCTGACAGGCAGAGAACACCTACACCTCTACGCCCGCCTTCGTGGAGTGCCAGAGTCTGAGATCAGCAGGGTGAGATGCAGAACTAGGTTTGACAGTTGATGGATGAAGTTTTATTGTGACATTATTTTGAAATGGGGAACTTTATCTTCTTCTAACTTAGGTTGCAGAGTGGGCCATCCAGAAGCTGGGACTCTCAGAATATGCAGGTCACTGTGCTGGGACCTACAGCGGAGGTAACAGGAGGAAACTCTCCACAGCCATTGCAATGATTGGCTGTCCTGCTCTGGTGCTGCTGGTGAGTCCAACAATAACAGGATTAGTGGGTTATGAGTGGATATTACAGTTATAAGAATATTAAGCAGATAATGGACAAAATTCAGATGTGCCGAAGCTAATTTGTTTATTGTTCCTGCACTTTAGGATGAGCCTACTACAGGTATGGACCCTCTCTCCAGACGTTTTCTGTGGAACTCCATCATGAGTGTTATTCAGGACAAAAGAGCCGTGGTCCTCACGTCACACAGGTGAAGCATATATTTTAACATAAACAAATACATATGGATAACTGACATATAAAGCAAAAAATTCTGAATGGTTGAGCAGAGATGTCAAACTTTACACTGTAGGCCACACTTTGATCTTAAGTGGTCTGGTCCAAAGAAGCTCCACTTTTTGTCAGTGTAAAGAAGTTCTGCCATTTAATTATTTATTTATACTTAATTTCTTTGGTGTATGAAGGGCCAGAGAGCAGGTCTTCATCAGTAGCGAAAGCTGCAAAAAGGCCTAAACATATACGCCCTCCTTCGCATTTTCCAAAGCTGTCCAGCGGGCCAGATTGAAGTCTTTACTGTGCCAATTCTGGTCCCCAAGCCTTATAATTAACACCCATGCCTTAGAGGCATCTTCTGGTACAGTACCCCCAATAATAGGGCAACATGGGTTTAATACTCTGGGCTGTTTCCCCAGAGAAAATGCAGAAAGGAAGACGGAAAAGCAAATCATGTGCCATAAGTCAGAGATAACCTTACGGCATTATATTCCTTTGCATTTTGAATTCACACCTGGTGAATGAATGTTTTTTATTCCATATACCAATGCACAAAATCTCACTAGGAAGCAGGAAGTAATACGTATGTCACTTAAAAATTCCTACAGGAAAACCATCCACCCTACCGCTTTAAAGTCCCCACTCCCAGTGTCCAGATAATACATATGCCCTTTACAACTTACGCTGAGGCAATACTAGCAGTATATGGTGTCCAAATAACTTACAAAGACACTTTTTCTTGTTCTGATCTTCTGATTTCTCCCCTGTCTCTCTGTATTATGTGTGTACACATGTGAGTGAGCACGGCATCTAATTGTTATGATTTTCTTTCCAGTATGGAGGAATGTGAGGCACTGTGTACGCGCTTGGCCATTATGGTTAATGGATCCTTCAAGTGTTTGGGAACTATTCAGCATCTCAAATACAAGTTGGTCATTTTACTTTATTATTTATTCATATAAGAAAATACCTGATCTTCATTTTCAGTAACTATTTCACTAAAAGTGCCTGTCTTTTTACACACTTTAGATTTGGCGATGGCTACGTGGTCACCATGAAGATCAGGGCGTCTGAGCCCGGTTGTGCCCCGGACTTGAACCCTGCTGAAGCATTCATGGAAAGTACCTTCCCTGGCTGCATCCAGAGAGAGAAGCACTACAACACGCTACAGTACAAGATCTCCTCATCCTCCCTGGCTAGGATCTTTCAGATGGTCCTGGCTAATAAGGAGAAACTCAAAATAGAGGACTACTCAGTGTCACAAACCACTCTCGACCAGGTAAATTGGTGCAGAAATGCACAACACAATGAATTCTAAAATGGAAAAAAGATCTATTTCATTATGTTGCAAGACTTTGCACGTCGGTCATATTTTAACCTCTTTTTGCATTTTGTACCTTGGCCCCTAATTTTATGCCGTATGTCAATCTGCTGCTTTAATCAAATCTTTGTTTTTGTTTCTTTGTCCCTGCAGGTGTTTGTGAATTTTGCCAAGCAGCAGTCAAGAGAGGATGAAAGTATTGTATTGCATCCAAAAGCTGCTGGAGCCCAGCGATATATTGATACCACACCCATCAAGTCTTTGGGGAGGTGAACTTAATTCAATGAGCTCAGCTTGGAAGCCAGTGTTCAAAGTCCTATTGATGTGTGTACTTTGAGGGGACCGAAAGCTAGTAGGTATAATCGGGGCCCCCTTTTGATTTGAGACAGTCTGCAGAAAAATCCCTCCCAACCCAACAGACACCAGTGACAGGCGCATCATTTTTTGGACGCCAACAGAGGATGAACTTTTGGTTTCCAACTTTTGCGGAAAAGAAGTCCTTTGTGTTTTAAATCCACGTTTGATGGAGTCTTTCGAATGTTACAGTCGATCTGTTGCATCTTCTAACCTCACAGCGCAGCCTGTGAAGAAGTCGATCCCTAAATGATTTCTCTCGTGGCAAAAGTGCATGCTGCTCGATTTTGCTTCTCTGGTAAACAATGTTAGCGGGCTTTGACTTTTTGGAAAATGTGGAGCATTTCTGTGCCTGCCTGCTATTTGTTCCACGTTGTGCTCACCTTTTAGGCCTTTAACTGATGAAATATGAAAAAAACAACCTTCAATGTGGGTGTGTAAAGAAAGCATAGATTGTTTATATATATATATTTTTGCTTCAGATGCCAAGTAAGATTCACTTTCACTGCCTTCTTTAGATATGTGGAGTAAGGGCTCAGGGAAGCAAAGGCTTAGCACCTTATTGATGCGGTATTACTCGAAGCATCATGAGATTTATTGGTGATCTGTGCAATACAGCTCATAATCATTACAAAATCCTTCTTGCGCTGTTAAATACATTTCATTAATATGATCTCTTTATGCCATTAATTTTTAATTTTTGCGCTTTGTCCTCATGATTTGTTTGCAGCACCTAGTGTCATTAGAAGATGATGACATGTTTCTGTGAGGCAGAGTATAATAAATAATGAAGTGTGTTTTCTTTAAGATGTGGACCTTTATTCAGACCTTGAATTCACTTTTATAACCAAAAAAAGAACAGTTTTAACCTGAGATTAGGCAATATAGGCTTGAGAACTGCAGCACTTATCACTGACTACCTGATAAAGTCTCTGTACATTAACGTCAGTACAGTTTGCACTTCTCTGGAGAAAACTATCTGAGATAAGCATTAGAAGGGCTTAACTTTAGCGTGATTAAACACCTGCTTTATCAGCGTTCCTCCTGAGAGCTTAAAAGTGATGTTGCACTCTTAAATGGATGCTGTGACATTTCAAATTTCTTCGTTTGCTTCTGCAGGCACTTTATGATGAGGATGAGTATGCTCAATTTCTTTCACTTACATGTAACTAGAAAACTTTCATCTCGTAATAAAAAGCAACAACCTATGCTAACAAACCAATATGCAGTCAGCACTCCTCACTGGTTTCTCAAACACTCCTTAATATTCTGAAAGAATCAAACATAGAAAATCCAAATGTCAAAGCGTAGCTAATATGACAGGAAGAACTCTGAGTTTTATCACAATGCTAAATCAACCTCTGAGAAAGAAATCCAATCTTCTGTTGATATTAAACACTGCTATTATTGCTGACTTTAAAAGGTTTCCGGCATGTTTTTTAAAGCCTTAAACACGTAAACAGCCACATTATTGCTCTGTTTCTTCCTAGTTCGGCTCATTCATTTGTAGACAAAATTGCATAGTAGCAGCAGCAGACTTCTTTGTTTCTTTGTATGAGGTTCATGCTTTAACCATTATCAAAGAATCAGAGGTATAATAGCCACTCGGAGACTGGGGTAGTCCTTGAATTCCCTGATGTAGGCTTTGTGCTTTCCTTTGGCCCAGATGGTCATCTGAATAAACCCCAGTAATGTGTAAAATGCCACTGAAAGACAAAATATACAACATGTGGGGATAACCAAGAGGCTTTCTCATCAACCATGCAGTTCCACAGTGGATTATATTTATGGACATGCTCACTTGGTGACAGCAAAAGGTGAAAGGAAGCTCATACCTGGCAGACACTGGGTCATGATAGAAAAGCTCACCCAAGCTCCAACCTACAGTGTATGTCCAGTGTGCAAGCAGAAAGTGAGGTAAATGCTCAAGCATGGATGAAAATTTAATGCTAGATAAACCGTTCTGAATGCTGCGTGTTACCTCGTATGTGTAGTTTGGGCAGGATACAAAGAAAAAAAGCCAGGTGAAGGGGTTCTTATTTGGCATAGGAAATCTTCTACCCTTGGGTCCTGCAAAAATAATTCGGCCAGTGAATGAATTACATATGTATAATTTCATCTTACAGTATTTGAATTGATGGATGACCCTGCTTCATCCATGAAGGTTAGCAAAGCTCAGCGACTCACCATCTCCCCTGAGCTTATTCAGAGTCAAGTGAATGGAGAAGTTGCCCATTTCACACATCTAGAGCGGAAATAAACAAATCAGGAGTCTGTGCTTGTGATATGCCAGTGTAATTATTAGTATACGTACCACAAATAGAATTAGTGCATAGTTGACTTGCAGTTCTCCGTATGCTGCGGAGAAAGACAGTTTGGCTTTGATATGATGAAAATACAGGAGAAAAACAAAAACGCTGTATGTGGCATACTCGGACTGACTTACATGGAGGCGTATAGAGAGGGTGGTTGATATAGTAAGCCAACCATGCTGAAAAACCCCAGTAATAGGCACAATTCTGAAAGACGAAATGAGCACATACATAAATACTTAATGTGAAAGTGATCAGTGAAGTTTCAGTCCTCACAAAGATACTGTGTAGAGACTGCAAGTTATATTCTGCATTGTCAAACGAAGCTTTGTTTAACTTTATTATGACATTCATGAATTATAGTGCATTCAAGGACCTTGTGTGGATGGGCTTTGGAAACTGGCAGTGGTACGTGCTACATGCTTGTAGCTATAAATAAACATTAAAACATGAAAAAACAAAAACTGGTGCAGGATAGGAAAAATGAGGCCACACACTGTGAAAGAGAGGAGCTTATTATCAGCGGCTCTCCTCTTTAACTTTAGACTTTTCCTCACCTTGACTATAGTCCTGAGAGGCATGGTCCCATGTGAGAAGCGATGCACAAAGATTGTCTCTATCAGCCTCTTCGTGTAGTGGAAGGTATGACAGACGCAGGCCAGTCTGAGAGAGAGAGCCGAGGGATAAGACTGGCTTCTGGCAGCAGGTCATTCTCTTGCACAGTACATGTATACGTATATATAATAGTTAGAATAGCATTTTCATCATAGAACAATTTTAATTTAGCCGTGGTCTGTCGTAATTTGTGCTGTAGTTGATATTTCATTTTCAACGTACGTGACAACACGGTGGGGGCTGGAACTAAGTGCATATCGGTTTGAGTAAATGTAGGGTATTCGTAAGTAGAAGAGGAGGTAGCTCAGAAGGGGCCCGATATACTCTGCAAGAAACACCTGAAAACAGAAGAAAAGATGACTTTCTTTTTTTAATGTGTCACAGATTTAAAAAACAACAACAACTGCCAATATGCCTGTTGAATTAATCGTACCATAGTCCATCCTAATTGTGGACCAAGATCTTTGAAATACATGGTGGCAGTGGTCCCCACTGGCAGATTCTGTAAGATTTCATCATCTCTGAGTGATTTTCCCTCTGTATAAGAACAAAAACAACCTTTAGGGCAAACAAATCCATCTGGAAAAATACCAACAAACATTTTTACTATCCAACAGAGATCATCGCCTCTAGAATGTGGGCTTGAGAAATGGACACAACAGCAGAAATCTTCCCAGTGACACAGGCAGCGCTGTGCAGAGTTTCAGGTTTTCAGCGCACGTTCTCTCTACCTGGAAGCTCCAGGGGGCACGGCCACAGATAATTTGCTCTACTAATTGTGCAGCATTTTTAGAATATCCTGAGGGGCAACTGACCCAAATAGATTTGAACCAAAGTTCTCTTGTCTAATTCTTAGCAGCCAGGTAGATCCCAGATATACAAGACTAAAGCCTTCCAACATCATACATCAGGTTAGGCTGTATTTGCCTTTACAGCTTTAATTTGGGCTGAAATGGATGGAGCAGTGATGCATATTAAATGGTCTTTAAAACAATAAAGGAGAAATGGACAAAAGATTTCATAGTTAAGATGACTTTGTAAAGATGAACCTTCTTGTTGCGAGGTGACAGTGTTTCCACTGCGCTGACGTGGTTGTTCTGCCGGAGTGGTTGGGCCTGCGTGGCTGCTAATGGAAGCAGCACGCTGAAATGTATTAATGGTTCACTGCTCACTGAAGTACAGGATGAGTGTAAAGATAAATATGCCAGAACTTATTGCATAAACCTTTATCAATAGCGAATGATCCTATATCCAACCAAGGATACTTTTAGGGTTAGGAGGTGGCATATCATCAGTTGTCCGCATTAGTCTGTTTGATTAATCAACAATCAAGTCTGTTTGATTGTCTTTATTTCATTTACATCAGGTTAGATTCAATGGTGAATCTGAATTAGCCATGAGTGTGGCTGGAAGAGCACAGCATAGAGCGCAGCATAAAGTGCTGTGTGAAAAAACTGAATGTGGCTTGTAGTGTAAAGCACTTTGAGTGGTCAGCAACACTACAAAAGTGCTTTGGGGACTGAAGATGTGTGATCCTCTTTAAGGTTTTTCATTTCTACTGCTTTTGCAGAATGCATCCAACTGTAGGTTATCACAAACCTTTTACCTCTGACCTCTTTCTGATGGACTTTAGCTCTCCATCAAGTCAGGAGCACACCTGAAAATACTGAACTGACAGTACCAAAGATACATTTAGAAGTCAGGTGTAGGCTCACTTTTGGAACCGTAAATAGGAACTGTGTTCCTCCTCGTACTTTTCTTTCTATACTAACATAAACCTTCTCTCGTTACCTCTGCCATGGAGGTGATGTTTTTGGTAGTGATTATGTAGGTGTGATTCTGTCTGCAAACATGATAGCTCAAAAAGGTTTAAATGAATGTGTGTGGGGTAGCATAACGTAAGCAGCATGGAAAGTGACAGGAAGACAGCATCTGCAGACTGTTCAAGTGTCTTTTAAGTGTTCTTTATTTTCCCCCTCCCACATACCTGTTTTACACATAGGACCTGCACAAAGGAACACACAAGTATAACCAAACTACATAAACAAATGAAAGATTCAAATCAACTAATGATGAAGTGACATTTAGCTTTGAGAACATTTGCACTGCTGTAATGAATATAACCAATGCTACCACAAACAGACCCGGGATAGTATGCAGAGGCGAGGTTACATGTGCTGTGTTTACATTAAAGCATTATGATTAGATAACAGAACACAAAATAACAATATGTGCAAGTGACAAATGGTAAATGAATTCAGTCCTAGCCACTTTGTCACAATGTGCTAAAACTTTTTACTGGTGTAGAGCGGGGTCGTATTAACAATCCACTAAAATGTATCTTATATCCAATGAGGTCATCTGAAGTCTTCGTGGTCAACTTAATGACTAATTAGTCAGAAAAGTGACAAAAAACCATAGAACTTATGCCTTTTCCTTAAAAAATTATTTTGCCTTTGTTTGTACTGAAAACATTTAGAACATCATATCAATATGGGCGATTCTAAATATCACATTATAATTATCACATTATAATTATCACATTATAATTATCACATTATAATTTGGATCTAAATATTATTCACATTTGACCTCTGACCTCACTTTTACGTTTCAAGTCTGCCTTTCTGTCAAGTTGACCTCCAAATGTGTTACATTTTTAATGAAAGTATAATATTATACAGTAAGCTTGAGTTATTCATGTCCAGTTATTTACAAATCAATACTTATTTGTGTAATCAAAGTAAGTATCTGCCATGCTGCCCTTATCTGTTTTTTATTGCACTACAAACGTCTTAAAATATATATATTTTTTTTAAATCAAAGAAAAGTAAGTAGCGCCCACAGAGTGAGCTTCCTTGGCAGATGTTTGTGCTCTCACAGTGCTTCTTGTTTAAAGCTTTGACTTTATTGTGGCATCCAATTTTGCATGTGTATCTAAAGGTTTATGGCCTGGAAAGTGCAACACAATCTCAGACCAAACATTTCTATGTTCCAGTTTTTGTTGATTTATTGCAAAACCCAAATTCACAGCTTGATTGATAAGCGCCTTGAGGCGACATTTGTTGTGATTTGGCGCTATATAAATAAAATTGAATTGAATTGAATTGAATTGAATTGATTCAAATGTACTGAGCTAGACATACAGTATTTAAGTCCCACCCCAATTTTGTAAGTGTAGCATTGCAAAAAAGCAGTGCCTGAAGTGATGGATACAGACGTATCTATGAATAGATGAGTTTTAATTAAAATCAAGAGTATTTGTAGAGATGTTGGCCTTTATGAAGAAAAAGATCTCATACTTATCTATACGGGTACTTGTGGGTAATGAGGTCCAAATATTTTAGACAGTTTGAAACTTGAACTGAGTAACCAGTCTTGACACTTTGGGGC